TAACGATCTTTTCAGCAACAAACAAGACGCGCAAAAACACGTGACGATGTATAGTCAGATATTTAGACAGGTACTAGTAGTTGAATCGTGATAATCTGATGAGAGAGTAGCTGATTGATTGAACTCACTGTATAAGATATGAGTTAATATTAACCCACAGACATGCAGAGATAATAGAGAGAGAGTGATTACGAAATAACGGAGCTAAGAACCCTAGGGACACACGAAGAAGACAAACACAGCCAGCTGAGCAGAGAGCAGCCGAGGACGTAGAAAGCAAGAGAAGAGCAGATGAGAGAGGAGAGATGAAGAGAGAGAGAAGAGAAGAAGATAGAGTGAGAATATACGTAGACTATGCCACCCAGAGAAGAGAGAGAAGATTAGGAGATGAACTAAAAATTTTTGAGAGAGAGATATAGCAAAGAAGATGCACAGACAGACAGACAGAACATGACAGAAATATACCAATGAGAGTATCTAATAATGAACAACATAATCTGAGACATCATATATTACACAAAACAGTGTTAACCATCAAAGCCGAGATTAGAAAAAATAAAAAAGATGTCTACATGACAGAACTAAAGACCCCGGAAAAAAATATAAAAATGACAACCCCTTTTTCCAAAAGAAACAAACAAATAAACAAACAAACAAATGAATAAGATAAATAAAGAAAAGTGATTAAAACACACACACACACATAGACAGACATCCGAGACGAACAACGAAACAAACAGCTGAGAGCGCAACAAATACCCCACACCTGGCCAGGTCGAGGGTGGGTGTATGCGGGGGATGGGAGGGGGGAGTAGGGGGATAGGTGGAGGGGAGAAAGGTTAGGGTTTACGGGGGGGAGGAGGGAGGGGAGGGGAGGACAGGGAAGGAGAGGGAAGGAAGGGAGGGGAGGGAGGAGAGGGAGGGGAAGGGGAAGAGGAGGGTAGGGAAAGGAGGGGAAGGGGAGGCAGGGAGGGGGAGGGAAGGAGGGGTCGTAACAGCATCGCATAGCCTTGAAACAACCCCTTAGGCCAAATCTTAAGACATGAGGCCGTTCCCCATCTCCTGTGCAGCTTTAGTATTTCTTCTTCATTCACCGCCGGCATCCATTCATTCGTCTAGATGGTGTGTAATGCTTGTAATCGCACGTGTCTTTTGTTTACGTCTAAACAGCTGTTCGCTCGTAGCCACAGCAAGCGAGAAAACAGACGATGAAAAAATAAAATTAAAAATTAAAATCCTAGACATATAACAACTACTGTGAATATAATAAACAAATCATAGACTTAAAGAAAAATGAATAAACAGGTGGATAAAAAAAAACTCGGTTTTATACAGCGTTCCAGATGTAACTCAATTAATGTTTTACTTCTCGAGCCCATGTAAAACGCGATGAGTTCAAGGTTTCAACGATCGAACGGAGAGTATAATGCACCATATACGATAATTTCCCAGGCCGTTATCGCATTCTGCGACAAAAAATAAATTTATCTATTCTCCCAATGAGAGACTCAATGATACAGTAGTAGAATAGACCCATAATACAAGATTACTACGTGATTGATCGAGTATGGACAGTGTATGCAGCCCTTGGAGACCTAAATACCGTGGGAAGTAGAAGAGTGTTTTGCGTGGAAATTTTGCTTTTGTCATACATTGTGTTGTGTGGTTGTGTGTGTGTAGTGGTTGTGTGTATGTGTGTGCTGTGTGAGGTGTGTGTGTGATGTAGTTTAGATGATAGTTCTCTAATTTTTATGCTAGTGTGAGATTATGTACACACTCTATTACACGAAATATTGCCTTGATAAGGGTGTGGCGTGTAGTGTAGTGTAAGACCATAAGAAGATAATGAAGAAGTAGGTATGTGCGCGCGCGCGTGCGTTGTTGTTTGTGTGTGCGAATTTGCGGGCGCGTGTGTCTGTCTTGTTCCTGAGACAGAGATATCTACAATAGGCAGACAGATGCAGCGTATCTAATAATAACCAAAAGAACGCAAGAAAAGAAACCGAGAGAAAGAGAGAAAAGAGAGAGAGAGGAGAGGACCTATAGAAGAATGTAGTATGGATAAGAGAGAGACGCAAGGTAAGAGAGGTGGGAGGAGAGGGTGAGCGAGAGAGAGCGGAGAAGAGAAGAGAGAGAGAGAGAGAGAGAGAGAGAGGGAGAGATCAGAGACAGAGACCAGAGAGAATGGAAGAGACGAAGATGAGAATAAACAGAAGAGACCAGTGTTGACAAATAAAACAATAAACTAAACAAATAAACAAAACAAATAACTCCAGAAAAAAGAAAGAGCTCCGACCTCGATTGAAAGACGCAAAATGACACGCCTCCGCCAGCGCCGTTTAACCTTCCTTCGAATATGTCTCCTTCTTAGAATAGAGGGGGGGGTGCGTGAAGGATGTGGGGGCGGATGGATGAGGAGGAGTGAGGGGGGGAAGAGAGGAAGAGGGGAGGAGGGGGGAGAGTAGAGAGGAGAGGGGAGGGAAAGGTGAAGGGTAGGTATGGGGAAAAAGGAAATTGGGAGAGAATGATAAAGAAGAGGAAGAGAGAAGGATGAAGAGGATAGAAGAGAGAGACTGAGACGAGACAGAGACAAGAGACAGAGATATAAGATAGATAAGACAGAAACAGACAGAGACAAATACAAAATAGATACAGAGACAGAATAGGATAGAGAAGTA